CTGATCATGCGGACGGTAATAGATTATCATGCCAAGAGGCTAATCATGACATGCATAAAGATGGATATTGTTTCGAGGGGAAATTCCAACACGTGGGGTTAGAATCTTCAAGTGAAAATAGGTTGCATGAAGTTCCTATTATTAAGGCTACTAGGTTGTTTTGGGATGAAGTGTCCGCTGGCTTTGGCCCATCTGAGGAAATGGGTAATCAATTAGCCGGTGTGGAAGTCCAATCCATTTTTAATGATTCAAAGTTGCAGGATGTTCCAATTGAGGTGGCCCATAATTTGGCTTCTTCATCCGATAAGAAGGGAGTGAAATGTATATTTTCTGGCCCATTGAAAAGCCAAGTCAACAAAGGAGTTAATAGTAAAGGCAGCATGCTCGTGGGTCTTCAAGGGGCAAGGTCGGTTTAATTGGCAATCTAATATACTAAAAGCCAAGAAGTTTCCATCATCGAGGGTCTTGGGAGCAGGCGCAAGCGGAAGAATATGGAAGTTCCAGTCTTCGGGGCCTTGGTTCCAGCTCATTATTCTTAGATAGCCCTCACTCATGCTCTAGCTACTGTGACGGTGTAGGTGAGGAATCAATAGCGTCATTGCTGGTGGAAAGGAAATTGGGTGTGGAATTTTACGCTTCTAATAGTGTGGTAGTGGGTAGATTTGAAGAGTTGGGCGCCGATGATAGTAGGTAAGTGTAGGTCTCGTGTTCTCTTAAAATAAGGTGTGTGTTTCCTTGAATTCCATGAATTGTTTGTTGCTTTCTTGGAATGTTAGAGGGATGGGTAAATCGAAGAAAATTAAAGTTAGCATAGTGGTTATGTCTTCTAAAGCTCCTGTAGTCTTTTTGCGAGAATCAAAGCTCGTGGTGGTTTAACCGAGGGTGATGAAGAGATTGATGTGCTGTAAGTTAGATGGTTCAGCTTTTGTGACGACCGATGTTACTTAGAGTGTATTGATTACAATGTGGAATTCAAGTTTCTTTAATGTTGATGATGTTTTAACTCAGGCGAGATTTTTTGCAGTGGTGGGGTCGGTGATCCAAATTGGATTGAAGATTTGTTTGATTAATATCTATGCTCCCAATGGTCATGTCGAAAGGCGAAAATTCTTTGGTCAATTGGGTGATTTCATTGAAAATCAGGAGTGCCCTGTTATACTTGGTGGTGATTTCATTACCATTACATCGGAGGATGAGAAAGTGGGTGATTCTGTTAATGCTGGTTCAATAAGGGATTTTAATGAGTTTTTTCTAGGGAATAAATCTTATTGATTTACCTTTTCATGGGAATCCGTTTACATGGTTTAGGGGGTGGCTCGGTGTCAGCAAGTAGATTGGATATATTTTTTGTGTCATCAGAAGTGTTCTTAAGTTTCCCACAACTTATTCAATCAACCATCCCTAGAAGTTTGTCTGATCATAACCCGGTGACCTTAATTGAGGAGGGTTGGTTGGGGGTCCTCAGCAGTTTAAGTGGTTCAACCACTGGGCTGACAATTTAGAGTATTGCAAGCTCGTTAAAGCTGTTAGTGAAAGGTTCTCTGGCAAAGGCATTGGTTGTCTATTAAGAGAGATCAATGGTGCCTCGAAAGTATGGGTGGATGATGTGCGATCTAAAGACCCGGACTCAGTTAATGTCCTGGAGGGGAGAATTCAAGCCCTAAAAAATGCAACAGTGTTTGAGTTTGATGGTGAAGAATCTAGGTTGGAAATTCAAGCTCTAAAAGTAAAGTTGTGGCAGAAATACAGAAGTGAAGAAAGGGAATGGTCGCAAAAGTCTAGGGTAAAGTTGTTCAAAGCTGGTGACAGAAATACATGTTTCTTCCACTTGTCGGCTTCTATTAGAGGTTGGAAGAATCTCATATCCTCCATTAGAGTCGGTGATGAGGTGTTAAGTGATCCTAAGCAAATTTCAGATGTGTTTGAAAGTCACTTCAAGAAGAGCTATAATTCGTCCAGCACCCTAAAAGTGAAAGAGTTTAATGTTCCTTTGAGAAGGTTAGGGTATGCTTTGATGAACGTGTTAGAGGTTCCATTTTTAGAAGAGGAAATTTAAGCCGTTATTGCTTTTACGGATGGGTCAAGGGCTCTGAGTTCGGATGGGTTCAACTTGGATTTCTTTAAGAAGTTTTGGGGCGAAGTTAAAGAGGATATTATGGAGTTCTTTTCTGACTTCCATAGTGGCTCTATTAAGTCTTTTAATCACTCTTTCATTACTCTCATTTCGAAGAAGGGTTCGTCGAAAAATGTTGAAGATTTCATGCCCATTTCTTTGGTGGGTAGTTTGTATAAAATTCTAACCAAAGTGTTGTCAACGAGATTGGCGATGTGTATTCTTAAGGTTATCGGTGAGAGTCAGTTTGCCTTTATTTATGGCAAACAGATTGTTGACTGTTCTCTCATTACCATTGAAGTAATTGAGGACCTCAAGCACAACAAGAAGGAAGCCATTATTCTGAAAGCCGATTTCAAAAAGGATTACGACCAGTGGCATAACTAGAAATTAAAAAATGGGGGTCCAAAATTTTCATGTTCATATTCTAAAAAAATTTGTGTATACAATTTTTTTTTACTTTTTTCTATTTTCATTAACAAACTAAATTAAATTTAACATTTTTCTCAAAATAATGGGTGTGCAGTGGCTCTCCTAAGGAGTCAAATACATCCGCCCCTGCTTACGACTAAGTGGACCGGTGTTTCCTTGATTTCGTGATGTAGAGAATGAGATTTGAAAATAGGTAGAGGAGATGGGTTCAGTTGTGTATATTTTCTGTGTCTATATTGGTCCTTGTGAATGGATCTCCCACGAAGAAATTATGTATAAAAAGAGATCTTAGGCAAGGGTGCCCCCCATCCCCTTTGTCATTTAATCTAATTGATGAAGCTTTGAGCGAGCTATTGGCTAAAATAGTGGATTTAGGGTTAGTGTATGGTATTTCCGATAGGTTCGAGTGTATTTAGAGTATTACACCTCCAATTTGTGGATTACTTGATTATCTTTTCGTATGTCAATATCGAGTCGATCAGGAATATCAATCGTGTTCTAAGAGTATTTGGGATTGCTTTAGACTTCTATCTGAATTTGAAGAAAAACAAAATTGTTTAGGGTAAATATTCAAGAGAGTCAGCTGAGTGAGTGGGCGGGAGCAATAAACTGCGAATGAGATTCTTTCCCTTCTTCCTAGGGAGCAATAAACTGCGAATGAGATTCTTTCCCTTCTTCCTACTTGGGTCTTCTGTTAGGCCATCCGAGGAATTCTACATATATATAGAAACCTATTGAAGAAAAGTTATTTTCTAAACTGTCTAGGTGGAAGGGAAAACTCCTCTCCTTCGGTGGCCGCCTCAAGTTGGTAAATTATGTTATTGTTAACTTACCAGTATACTACTTATCTTTTTTCAAATGCCTGTAGGAGTGGCCTCGAAATTAAATAAGCTCATTGCAAATTTTCTTTAGGGTGTCATCCAATCGAATAAAGACACGTGTCATCAATAACACATGGCACATCTTGATTCGATGGTTAAATTTATTTTAATTTATTAAAAATTAGGATCAAATTGAAAGAATATATAAGTTATAGGGATCAATTGTGAATTATACCCAAATATTTTAACAGCCACGTCACCACCTCCTTTAAAAATTAACGGTTAGTGGCTTGATTAAAACATTTAAATAATTTGGTGGTCTGATTGATTCAATTGAAACGTCAGTGGTCAAATTGATTTTTGATCATAGTTTAATGATCTCTTGTGTAGTTTACTCAGTATTTTATCCTATACATAAATTTAACAAGCAATCATGGGATTTTATTTTTAAAATATAATTTAAAATAACTAAAAAATGTCAACATCCCAAAAAAGAAATTATGAGTTTTTTAATATAAAAATCCGATACTAATTAATTAGCTTATGTAAATCACTCCAGTCTGTTACGGTAATCATGGCTCGAGATTAAAATCGTACGATGAGAAAGTTTTTTCTTTTGTAAAAATTTATTTTATTAATGCAAATAATCCACTGCTACTTTTTTGTCCGCCTGCACCGATTACTCTTACACGGCGAATGAAAACTCCATGGGACTTGTACTTTTGGGATGTTGACGGGTTTGGTTAATTGGCTTTACATTAGTATTATATAATTATTTAAATTTTAGGTTTATATAATAAATTAGTTTCGGAAAATTACATAATATTATTTTAAATGATTTTTTTAAAACACACATTTAATTAAAACAACATTTCACATAAAAAAAACTTATTTAATTATTTACCTATCTTGATAGACATCAATCAGTATATGAACTTAAAATTTATTTTCTTTTGAAATATGTATGTTTTAAATTTTACCGAAATCCATCTATTTTAATTAGTAAATTTAAAATTCATTTAAATTTATTTGTGTTAATTTTATTTAATATAGATTAGTTTTATATATTTAATATTATCGGAGTCAATTATGTACAAATATAATTATAAATATAATAAACATATACATATATTTAAGATTAAAATCAATCATCACATTACGCAAAAAATGGTATTATTAATAATAATATATTCGTGAATCCATCAAATAATTTCAATATAAAAGAGAATATTAGTTTTTATATTTTAAGTTCAAATAATTTTATATTTAAAAGATATATACGCCATCAATAATTAATTTGAATAAAATATTATTTTATAATCATGTCATATTAATAAAAAATTATTTATATATATATATATAATTATATTTAAACATTTCCGTTTTCGAGATTAAATTTATTTTTATACATTTTTGAAGCTGATATTTTATCCACCGTATTGAGTTTACTATTAATAATCCCACTAATTGTAAAAATAAAGTCAGAACTACAGAACGATTCGTTTCACGTACCAGCGCGCAGTTGTTGCCCGTTGTTTCTCCCAAAAACCTCCAAGTTCTTCCCAGTCTTAACCAAGTCTCTTCATTTTCAATCCACAGTGACATTTGTTTGTCTACTGGAAACCCTTTTTTCCATGGAAGACAATTCCCATTTCAAGGGTCTGAAGAGGCGGTTGGCCTTTGACGACGAAGATTCCGACGTCGTACTCCGGCGTTTCAAAGTTCTGTTACCCAACGGGACTAGCGTTGGTTTGACGTTGAAAGACCTAGAGCATGAAATCTCATTTCAGGGTTTTATTGACTTGATCAGGGACGCTTACGATGTGGAGAAACGAAACTCTTCAAAGACATGAAAGAACTGGAATGTGTTTTTATTTGCTTGTAACTTACTTGCTGTTGGTTTGATGTTCAGGATGGTTCTGGAGATGTGACCAATACTTTTGAGGTAATGTACTTTCTCCTTTCCATTTTGGGGGCATTGTTGTTTGAATGATCTATTCTGCTGAGAAACCATGGTTTTTTTTGGATGAATTTGTTGGTTTTCAGAATATGTGGGATTTGACTCCTGATACAGATTTGTTAATGGAGCTACCGGAAGAATACACTTTTGAATCTGCTCTTGCAGATTTGATTGTAAGTTCAATCATGTTTCTTTGATTCCGGATTTTCTGTTATCCTTCGATGTGTTGTTTAGTCGGTGCTTACCCTTTTCTACCTGTTTAACAGGACAATTCCTTGCAAGCAGTTTGGTTGAATTGTGAAAACCATAGGAGACTGATAAGGTCTGAAATTACATGTGTCATTTGATGGTTTATTTTATAATGGCAATATCACTGCTTTAAGCTTATTGTATTTAGTTTATATCTCCGTTTTTTTTTCTTTTCTCTTGGCTTAAATTTATTCTTTTTATGGAATATAATTTTCTTCCGAACAGTGAGTTGGAGGCGTAACGAACGAAAGTTTTGAATTGCAATGTTCCTGTACGAGATTATTGATCATGCCGATGGCATGAGGCTTGGAGTTTATGCCAGATTTTCCTAGTGGCCTCTCTGTGTTTCTTAAATATATTATATTTTAGCCTCTTTATGTATATTTTGTGCGCATGCTGTATTGCTTTTCCTATATCATGCTTCATATGGCTATCTTAATATTATTGCAGTGTGGATGTTCTTGAGAATAGAATCTCAATATTTGACACTGGGCCTGGAATGGACAACAGTGATGAAAACTCTATTGTAAAGTGGTATGGTTTTACCAAATCTTTTTCTTTCTCTATATCTATGTTTGTTTTGTTTTAATTCTTGCTTTGAGACTTTGGTTAACTTTTCTTCTGTTGTTGGGTAAGAAATTTATAATTTATTCAATCGTAATTTAAATGTCAGTCTGCTTTGTTCAAAGTTCAAACATAAGTGAGATATATTTTGGAAGAAAATATTTTCTGTATTCTTCTCCTGGTTGTGTTTCTTAATTATAATTTTTCTTTAGAGTTTAGCTAACGAATTCAAGTTTATTCTACTTGTTTTATTCAGGGGAAAGATGGGTGCCTCTCTAAACAGGTTATATAAAATAAAGGCAATAGGGTGCAAACCTCCATTCTTAGTGGTAAAACTCTGAAATTCTCTTTAATTTCTTTTTATCAGACAAGTTAATATCTGTCTGAAATTGATGTAACCGCAGTTTGCGTTTAACTTTGCGCACAAAGATTCCAATATGACTTAGAAGCTCTTTATATCATTGATGGATTTGTTAGTTTTATGTTATTTTTTGGCTTTCATAACAATGCAGCCCTTTTTTGGCATGTTTGGATATGGAGGACCTGTTGCATCTATGCATCTAGGGAGGTATGGCCTTTTGGACAAATTGTACATGCCTGTCAGTCCGTTTTATGCTGATTTTTGTTTTTCGTTTTTTTTCTATCTTCATTTAGCTGTGTTATAGTTTCGTCCAAGACAAAAGAATCCAAGAAAGTTTATAAGTTACGTCTTGCACGAGATGTTTTACTCAGCAATTCTGGTTCTGGACGTAGTTGGAGGGTATGAAAGTTCTCTTTGTATTGATTTCCCTATAGAATAAGTTTCTTTATCAAATTCTTTTTGTTATATTTAACTTTCTCATAAGTTTGTTGCATCATGTCATCAAAACCTTTTTACATTAGACTGATGGCAGCATTAGGGATCCTTCAGATGATGAAATTGTGAAATCACCCCATCGAAGCTTTACAAAGGTTTACTTTTCTGTACATCCCCTTTAATCTTATATTTTTGTTTTAGAGGTTAGATCCTGCATTTTATTTGTGCATAGGTGTCATTTTATCCATTTTAGCTAGGTGAGGTGTTCATATTTTATTGTCTCAATTCGTGTATTGATAGTTTGATTCTTCACAGGTGGAGATACTAAGGCCTAAAGCGAAAAACTTGGACATATCTAAGCTCCAATGTAAGCTGAAGGACATATACTTTCCATATATTCAGGTGTGACTTTATTCTGAACTTTATGACTTCAAATCATGCTAGATTTGTAATTACCTCTCATGCAACAATTTGTTGACCTGCAGTGCGATGAGTTGTCCGAGGGTGGTAAGACTGTTACGCCTGTTGAGTTCCAGGTTTTGGTCATCTTTGAGTAACTCCAACATATTAATTTTGACATAGCCTTTGCAGTTACTCCTAATTTTAGAGTTGTTCGTGAACTTACCGTAAAATGTTTTGGGAGTATTAAAGGATCTTGATGCTTTTCAGGTTAATGGTGTTGATTTAGCTGAAATCCAAGGCGGCGAAGCTGCAATCACCAACTTGCATTCTTGCAATGGTTCCGAATTTACTGTATCACTGCGCTTTTCCCTTAAAAAGGAGAATTCTTCACCCAATGCTTCAGGTAGTTATAATTCTTGCTGAAAATCAAGAGAAATTTGGAAGTTGGAAGAAAATAAAGAAGACGAAAAACAGTTAAGAAAGGGGGCTGTTTGCTGTGAGAAAGAGAGGAAGAAGGGAGTAAGAAAAGAAAAAAAGTTCTGAAAATTCAGCTTGATTATCTCTGAAGCAGTAATAGGCTTTTATACTAATAGTTAACTATACAAAATAAGGAAAGACCAAGATAACATTAAACATTTACAGTCTATAAATCTCTGATATTATGCTAAATCAAATCCTAAGATTAATGTATATCACAGAACTTGCTATTTTACTGCTTTTATCGATGGCATTCTTGCTGCCCGTTGAACAGCAACAAATTTGCCAGTGTTAAGTTTCTGATGTTCTATATTTTCCAGGTTCTAAGGTTCCTCGTATGGCAAATGCACGCCTCAAGTGTATTTATTTTCCCATCCTTAAGGTACTTGATTTATTTATTTATTTTATTTTAGTATATAAGCTCTTTGGAAGTATTTTAAATACGTTTTACAGGGGAAAGAGAATATTGAGAGGATTTTGGATAGTTTGGAAGCTGAAGGATGTGGCGTTAGAGAAAACTTTGAGAACTATAGTCGTGTCTCAATTCGTCGACTTGGACGTCTACTTCCAGATGCTCGTTGGGTTAGTTGCCTATCATTCTTGTGAACTTAAAGTTTTTTTTTTCATATACCTTATATGGTAATTTTGTATTTCCATTTTAAAGAATCCTTCACGAGCATATACTATTTTACGCATCTATAAATGTTTAAATTCATTGCTTTGGTGATTCTTTGTGTTGTGCTGCCTGGTTAAGAAAGTCACAATAATTAATATGTAATGCATTTGCTTAATACAGGTATTACTTCCTTTTATGGATTTGAGGCATAGAAAGGGAGAAAACTCTCAGTTGTTGAAAAGATGTTGATTGAGAGTTAAATGCTTTGTTGGTAAAGTGCACTAAATTCAAGAAAAAAATGCTTTATATGCATGCTTGTAATGTTTCTTTTCTTTCTCTATTATCATTATTCTTCAAGCAAGCACTTTTTCATTGCAGATACTGATGCTGGATTCAATCCAATGCCTTCAAAAGTAAGCAACTTTGCGTCCCTTATATTTTTATTCACTAGCATGGTTCCTGAATTTTGCATTGCTTGCTGTTATGTTGATTTCTACTGTTTTTTGGAAGTCACCTAGTGGCTTGCTTTCAAGTTGTTGGAGAAAGTGTCATGAATTATTGATATGATTCCTTGCTTCTGGCCTTTTCTACATGGGAATTACCGCTCTTATTGGGTGTGTGTATGTGAATGTATGGTACGGTTTCTTATGTGGTGAGAATTACTATATCAAGTAATTGACCGTGCAATTCTGTATCGGTTACATCAATAATGGAAGATGTTGTATATAAGTTCTATTATTCCTCTATTGCTCTGAGAACCTTTTCAGTTATTTTTTGGCCTTGGAACTTGTTATTGTTTGAGTGAAGAGTTTGAGTTAAAATTTATTTCACCACCTGTTATCTGATTATCCTCTTATTGAATTAGTAGAGGAAATGTGTAGTTGCAGCAAGCAGTTCCCCTGATTGCTGCTCAAAGAAAAAAAGATCACACTAGCAAAGAATGCCGAGTTAATACATATGCTTTTAAATATATGGTCAAACCAACATTCATACAGTATTTTTTCCCAGACTGATTTGGCGCACCATAATCCTTTCTCCATTGCTCTTAAGAACTTTGGTAGTAGGCCTCAGGACAAAGAAAAAGGTGAACTTTGTTTTTGGTTTTCCTCCATGTCAAATTTGAGAATTTCACTTTGTAAACGATCCTTGTTAATTAGTTACTCTTGAATCTATAGATGTCAATGTTGACATTCATAGAGATGGAAAACAGTTGACATATTTGCAACTGGAAAGGGAGTACCTGGATTGGCTTCTTCAAATGCATCGTATGTATGATGAAGAAATCGACTGTGGTGAGGATCAACCTATTATTGTTGTCAGTCCCTTGAACAAGAAGGCACTAGGAATATCATCTGATGGTAAGTATTATCTTTTAAGTAGTTTGATTTACAAATGCATGTTTGATTATCTGTTACCTCTTAATTTGGTTTGCTGGCATATTTCTTTCCATCCTGTTTTAACTGGCATTACCTATATTATATATACTATTGCTTCTTTTTAACTTGCAGTGGTAAGAGTTCATCAAATTCTGAAGAGAAAGGGATTATTGTGGAAAAGTGGCCAGAAAATCAAAGTTCTCAAGGGTGCATGCACCAAGTGTCATAAGAATAATGTTTATGCAACGATAGAACATTTCTTGCTTGAAGGATTTCAGGGGGATTCTGGTGGTAATATTTTATTACAGCTAAGAAGTTTGATGTACCTTTATTGTACTTTACACATTGAAATATTCTTTTGATTGATTTAATGCTTCATTTTTCTGTTTTATATAGGAGAAGCTCGGATTATATGCAGGTAACCATGGTGCTTTTCCTTTTAAGTTTCTTGTAGTTTGTTTTTTTTAATATCTAATACCTTGTTGTTTACTAATGTATATGTCCATTTCTGTACGGAAGGCCACTAGGTATAGAAAATAGCTGTAAGCTTTCTATAAAGGGTGGAACTCCCAATTTGGATATTCAGGACTCATTATCACTTCCAATTAGCGTGATTGATTCTGGGATGGTTAGCTTTTATTGTAAATCCTTATAATAATATGAAACCTGTTTGCAACTGTTTCATATTGTTGAGTAACATGCTGGATTCTGAGCCATTTGCAGTGCATGTCCATTGATAATTCTAATTGGGAGCTCCAACTTAGGAAACAAATTCAGAAGACTCCCTCAAGAATTGAATTGCTGAATGAGAAACAGTGTCATCAGTTGGAGGTTGATGGGGTCAGTTGATATTCAACAGTGATAGTTGCCTAATCCTTTGTTTATCTGTTGTGGCATTTTTGTAACAGAATCTTTATCCTTTAAGATTGCAAATGTTAATAACAAGTATCATCATTTTATTAGTCAAAACAATTGGTTATATTCTCCTTCCTGGTTCTCAGTTCAAGCATCTTCAATATGCCTTATTTTGATTGTCCTGATTTCCTGTATTAGGCATTGCCGTCCGATCTTCCAAAACATGCTGGACAAACCCCTCCAAAGGTCATTGTGGCTGTTTTTCGTCCAAGTAGTTTCACATTTTCTCTTGCTTCAAATTACTTGGACCAGAAGGACATTGTGAAGGTTAATTTGGAGATGTCAATGGAAGTCACATTTAGAAGAACCAAGAACCATCAAGATGTTGAACTCATTTACTCTGTTCGCATTGCACCTTCATCCTTCAAAGGGTTTCATGGCTTGTATATGTTCCCACTCGGGGTGAAGTTCCCTCACTTATTTCAGAAAGCAGGTGCATATACATTTTCATTCTCCGCTGTGAGTAACTCAGAGACCTCTTTTATATCTTTCTCCTACTTTTAGTTTATAAGTTGTCATACTTTTTCAAGTTTCTTCTGGTCGTGAAATCTAATGGAAGCTTCACATTAACTAGGAACATTCGGGTTGTCCGAATTACAAACAAACGATTATGGTTGTGCCTTCAGAAAAGGTTGGAAAGTGGGAGCTTCTTCATGATGAAAAGTTTCCATCTTATACTGTAAGGTAGTGAATCTTGAGGAAATAATTTCTAGATTTGGGTGTTCATTGACTTCAAAATATATCAATAAATTTTCCATTTTAGAACTACATTCTAGAAGTTTGAAATGGGATCATGTTTTCCACTTCTCTCTAACTCTATGTTCTTCGGGCAGGGTCGGTTCATGTTTTCCACCCTTATCTATTGCATGTTATGACGTTTATGACAACCAAATGTCATTTACCTCCCTTCCTAGCTTAAAGATCAAGCTCATCATGAATGAAGATTTGTGTATTGATGTGGTCAAGATGAAGCCTTCTCTTTCATCTGATAATTCGGTCTTTATTATTAAGGTATGTTCTTCCGTAAGTTTTTTTTGCCCAAGTAATTTTGTGATCATTTGTTCTCTTTCTTGGTTTTTCCTAATGCTGCAGGATGTTGTGATTGAAAGTAATGAGTTGGACTCAATCCGGCCAAATTATGCAGCCACCTTGATGATATATATTCAAGATGCGTCGAGATCAGTTTCTGTGGAATGTCATGGTACTCAGCTCTAACATTACTCTGCATGTAAAAGCTTTAGAACAGAAATTAATTGAATCATTTCTTTTGTGCTGAGATGTTTTTTTGTGTGTGGCACATTAGTTACTCCTGGAGATCTACACTCTATCAAAGTCTGTTCACAACTTCCCCGAAAGCAATTACTCCCAGGTTTTGTAGTAGAGGAGTTTTTGCTAGAGGTGAAACTTCTATCATTTTAATGCCCTTTCCTTGCCTTAACTTCACGTTTCAATGACTTGTTTGGTTCTATGCATAGAGCAAGATCCTCCTTTCTTACAACCTTTTTCTCTGGTTGGAGTTGAAATAATAGCACAGGGGGTATAAGAATTGTAATCTGAAACTGTAGATCTGATATGTGATCTTCATGTTATTAAATGGTATTTCTGGTAGGTGTTCGATGTGTACGGCAATCATGTTGAAGAAGGCTTGGAAGTTGAATTCCAGTTGGATGGTTTTAGCATCCAAGGTCAAATAGGCTCGAGGTTTAAGGTTCGATCTTCAAACTAATCTGTGTTAATGCTCTATGGAAAATAAAAAATTCCATACTAATTTATACTGCTTGTTTAATATTTTTCATGAAAACTAATAGCAGTTTACCCAAAAATTCTAGGTGGATAACCATGGATGCATTGACCTAGGGGGACTATTGAAAGTAACCACAGGTTATGCAAAGCAAGGTATATACCTTCATGATTAGCAGTAGGGGTGAGATTGGTTTGAATTGATTCAGTTCTTTGGGACAAGGATACTTTTGAAATTCATACTTGTAAACACACCAGTTGGAACATTAAGTATAAATTGCTGAACTATAGGTCTTAATCCTTTTAGCGATTTTTCCTGCATGTCTTGCCCCTGCAGCTTGTCTCTCTGTTTTACACAATGATGAAGTAATTTTCAAGCAAGATTTTCAAACTGAGAAAAGGGAGCTCAGAATATCATCAAGTGTCAGTAAATTATTCACTCCTTTTTCATCTTTATTGTCACCAATATTTCCCTCAACTTTTCTCTTTACCATAATGTTTTCTCAGGTACCGGAGCAATGCATTGCTGGTTCCTCACTGGAAAATATAGGTTTTGAAGTTGTAGACTCCAATGGGGATGTTGATAAAACATTTCATGATGATGAAAAATGTGGCCAATTCCATACGCTCGTAGTTAAGTCAGAATCATTTGAAGTAGATGATTCTATACGCTATGTGTTCAAGCATGGCCGCTGCAACATCACTTCTTTTCCCCTTCCTCAAATTGAAGGGCCCCTTTGCTTCAAAGCTTTTCATTCTCGTTACTCTCAGCTATATTGCGATGTTAAGGTCGGGAAAATCTTGTTTCTATTTTGTGATTAACAGTTCCACAGCATATTGCTGATTTCATTCTAAATTGCTGATTTCAATATGCAGATTTGTCTTGTACATGCTCCGATAGTCAATAACAGCGAGGTTGAGGTCCACACTTCAGATGGAAAGGTCTTATTCCGGCAGAACTAACCATTTGTCAAGAATGAAAGAGTAACACATGCCGATTCCATTCTAAATTGCTGATTTAAATCTGCAGATTTCTCTTCATGCTCCAAAAGTCGAGAACAGTGAGGTCGAGCCACACACTTCCGGTGGAAAGGTCTTATTCCTGCAGAACTCACCATTTGTCAATAATGAGAATGTAGGAAACCTACTGTCCATAGTGAAATATGACAAGGTAAGGGAACCTGTTCTAATTGTGTGTATTCCCTCAATGAAACTGTAGTTTAATTCTCGAAGTGGACTGCTTCTTGAACAGGAACTAGAGAGTGAAGTGCTCAAATATGCTGAGCGTGTGGGACATAGGGAAAATTTTCTGAGAGGTCTTAATTGTTGGAAAACAGGCATCGAGCACGATATTTCTAGGTTGCAAGGTTGTTTTTCTCGTTTAAATCGATTATTTTTAATAATAAACATGGCTTCTTGTTTATCCTCGTAAACTTGTTATGTTAAAAAAGATGAAAGCAGTTCTTTATCTTCATCTTTTTGCAGCTTCTCTGGAACCCGATTTAGTGAACAATCTGGATTGCTTGTCAACAAAAGAACTAATGAAACTGATCCAGGGAAGAGATCATACTGCAGCTGCTATTGTCTGCAGTCTTGCTCAAGGACCACCGATGAATATCACGGAAGATGTAGTAGGCGTGGTAGCACTCCTAGGAACAGTTTGCTCTGTTCAACTTAGCAGGTTGTCTTCGCTTTATTTTTAAAGATGTCACTGCGAGACATAATGAAAATATTACATGTTCTGTAACTTCATCTCCGATAATTTTTCCGGATATCTCTGTTGCAGGATTTTAGCCGAGTACTTGGGTGAAGATCAAATGCTTGCGGTTGTGTGCAAATCCTATTATTCAGCGGGTGCTCTTGAGCAATATGGGCATAATGGTGAAATTGATTCTAGGTTCGGTCTTCATGCAGAAGCCACCGCTCTTAGTAAATCTTTAAGTGGTAGATTTCTTGTTGTCTGCCTCGAGGATATAAGGTACCGCATGTATAACACTTATTGGTTTCGAAACTTTAACGAAGATCACTACAACTATTCTTATAGACATTGAAGAACAAATCTTCAAGGAACTGAATACAACTATTCTAAGTGATGTTCAATCATGCAGGCCTTATTTGGGAGGGGTTGAATTCAATGACCCTCAAAGGAAGCTAGTCTTACCAGATCCTAGCTTACGATTTGGACACTGCCCTCCAGGGTTTATCGGTTATGCGGTTAACATGATCAACCTAGATAATCCTAACTACAGAACTGATTTCGGCCACGGTTTGAGGGAGACTCTTTTTTACAGACTTTTTGGCAAGGTTCAAGTATACGATACAAGGGAACATATGAAAAAGGCTCGTGATTGCATAAAACATGGTGCTGTGTCTCTGGATGGTGGGATTTTGAGAAAGAATGGACTTATATCTCTTGGATTCAGGTACTCAATACTCTCTTGCCAGCTATGCATATGCGCTTCGTTATCTGCTTCATGTCTAATTTCTCAAGTTGTTGCCTTCTAGGAATCCGGAAATATATTTTCCAGTCGAGAACAGGAACGTGTCTCCTCAAAGCAAGAAAATCATAGATCAAATCAAGGAAAAACAAACTGAACTAACAACCACCTTGCAACATATAGAGAAATCAAATGAAAAGCTTAAGAGAGACCTCCTTAGGCTCAACAAGAAAAAAACCAAGTTCCAGAAGTACATGGATAATACCGACGATGCGATCAACGATATCGTAACTATGAGCCCACTGCAATACACCCAAGAGCTCGGAACTCCCTCTCAATCAACTCCGAGGTATATGTGCCCACTGCAATACACCCAAGAGCTCGGAACTCCCTCCCAATCGACTCCAAGGTACATGAGCCCACTGCAATACACTCAAGAGCTTCGAACTCCCTCCCAATCGACTCCGAGGTGACTATATTTCTAATCGACAACTCTTTATTCGCTCGATAGTTCTATAAAGATAATATACACAGGTTAGTTCTTGATAGTTTCATGTTCATATATGATCAAGCTATTTGTAAATGTCTGTTGAAATGACGGGATCTTCTCTTACAGCTGAAACATTAGCCTTTTTTTATTACCGAGATGTATATTTTATCATATTAAATGATCTAATCCAATCACAATTGATGGAAATGGAGCTTCCTTTAGTTGTTTGCCACATTTGATCGTTTTGATGAAATTGTTGATGTAAACTGCTATAAAATTGACTGGAACAAGTGTTTTCCGGCAACTTAAATCATCGGAGAGTTCGAGTCGATAATATTTGATCTTAAACTTAACTTAGACTCTTAATCTATTTTTAATTTTAAATTAATAAGTTAATAATTAAATCCTTACTATTACTTTGTTTATAATATATGTATTTGGGGTCGTTAGCTTGATGAATAAAAAAAGAATAATGCAGGTTTGGCAATTGGCATTAGACTTGGTGATGGCACCCTCAGCTCATTATTTGTGCCACCTTAAGAATAAACTTTTAATCATTACACTATTCATTAACACAAATGCATATTAAATAATTCGGCTGATAATATAGTTTAACAAATATTCACAAAATATGATACTATATTTCTTTATAAAAAAAATTTATTTGTAAAAAATAGGAATAGACACTAAGCGAAATGGGATAAGATTTATCTTTTAGCTATTATTATTTTTCATTCGTTTTCCATATAAATATTAAAATATTTTTTCGTTTTCGATTCGTCTTAACATTTTATAATATTTTCTTTATTTTGAATTTTGAAATAAAAATTAATTATCGATTTGACTTAACGAAATAATAATAGTTTTCATTTTTATTTCATAAAAAACAATTATATATATGAAAAATAGTATAGTAATTATTGTTAATATAATTAGAAAATATGATAATTATTTTGGATCAGATCAATAACTTTCTTACCCTATACTTATAATTAGATATGAACATTCGATCGAGTCGAGTCCAAAAATTTTGAGTTATTTGAGTTGACGAGTTGTATTTTGTGACTCGAATTTAATTTGAAAAATTTTCAAGTAGATTTTAAGAAATTCGAGTCGAGTTATTCAAGTTTCTATACAAATTTTATTATAATTATTTATAGTATTTATGATAAGGATTGATTCTATATTTTTCAATTTTCTCTAATCATATAAGATATATGTATTTATTCATATTCTTTAAACAATATAATGTTATTTAATATATAAAATACAATCTAAAATTATAAAATACATTTACAATATTATATTTTAAATAGGATATTTTGAGGGTAAAGTATTTATGAGAGTTTAAAAGAATCAAGAAATTAAGAGACTAAATAAAAAAAGAGAGTACATTTTTAATAAAAAATAAGAATTGAAGTTACATATCTATTCTATAGTAGTATAAGAGCATGTGATTCAAATTTGGTAAAAATGGACTTAAAAAGAAGGGTGAATTAAAAAAAATAAAGAAATCATGAAAAGTTGAGGGATTAAATTGAAAAATAAAAAATGTTATCAAAAAGATGAATTAAAAGCACATTGGTATTCTATGATGGTTTAGGAGCATGTTGTTCAAATTTGGTAAAGAAAATGAACTTAAAATGAATGATGAATTGAATGAATAAGAAAATCAGGGACCAAATCGCAAAACTATCAAAATAGTCAGCAAAATTTTTGGTTTTTTATAGTAACTTGAAATTTCAAATTCTAACTTGACTTGAACTCGAAAATATAATATATAATTTGAGTTGACTCGAATAATTCAACTTGAATAACTCAAACTTTAAAAAACATTAATTTTTCGACTTCCCTACCTATATCGATACGACTCTTTTTTACATGAAAATCATCTTGATCCACCTCAAATTTGAATTGTAAAAAATAATTTTATAAAATCGAACCAAATTAAAACTCTTCAAACTTAGACAGTTTAACTATAAATAGATTAACGGTAATATTATGAGAATGGTACCCATTTCTAATATAATTAAAAGAATAACATCCCAAATGAATTTTATATAGAGAAAATGATACTCATATAAACTATGTAAGATAAAAAAGTGACTAACTAAACACGTTTTATCGAAAATACTCTTAATTAACAATACCTTTTATTTACGTAATTGAAAATAAAAGAAAATTTTAAAAAAATAACTGTACGCCTATTTTAAATTATTAAAAAATGGGATTATGATTTTGGTTTAGTGTGATATCAATTCAATTTGGTAGTTAATATTTGTATCGATGAGGTGCGAGGTTTCAATTTCAAGCTTTTACGTTATTTATTGTTCACCATCAAAATAAATAAATAAAAGGGTAAACTACACGGGTGACCACATAACTATAGCTCTTTTTCACTTTGATCACTAATATTTAAATTTAATCAATTAGATCACCCAACTATTTAAATACTTCAATCAAGCCACTGACCGTTAACTTTTAACTGAGAATGTGACATGGAAGTTAAAAAATTTGGTATAATTATATATTTGGTCATAATTTAATTTAATTAAAATAAATTTTACTTTCAATTAGATGTTGACACATGTCAATAATTGGTTGGAGGATATTTTCATAAATATTTATTTATTTAACCCACGCGAGAGTGGCGAGGTCCACCATATCTATCCTCCCCTGAGTATACGTTTTTGAATACCAAAGCCAATTGTATATCGACATGTGTCCAATGATGTCAGCATAGCTGCCACGGTGTCAACTATTGATTTCGTGCAAGTAATTTATTACGTAAGAAGCAGAATACAGGAAATAGTAAAATCCATAAATAAAGTAACAATATTTGTTTGTAGGGTAAATCATTAAAGGTTACCTAATTACGAAGTCGATTATATTTTGGTCACATAAATATATAAACTAGGTTATTAATTTATCAAATCAGTTTCAATCAAGCTACTAATTGTTAACCAAATTGTTAGCGGACTGGACTCAATTAAAAAAGAAATGGATGTTGAAAAAAATAATCAGGGATTTATAAATGATATTGAATTAATAAGAAAAATATAATTATTTTTAGAGTGCATGCAAAATAATCAGGGTTTTTTTTTACATTCTAAGACCAAATTGAAAGAAAATTGAAAATATATGATTAAAATAAAATTTTATAAAATGAAATAATAAAATTAAGGAGGGGTCCAAAATTCACTTAATGTTGATATATGAAAATTCCTATTTTAATCCCTCACTTTTTTACTTAAAATTCGATATCAAAATGTTAAAAAAAAATTCGAAGTAAAATTATTGATAGTTGCCGACGACTTTACTAATATTTGTAAAAGTATCTTATTTTCCTAATCAATTCAATACCATCCCAAATCTCTAATTTTTCCCCCAACATCAATTTCCCTTGTTTTTGACTTGCTAGTGTGACAGTTGAGTAATTTTATATAATGACATATTTGATCCTATTACTTACAAAATTTATCAATTTGATTAAAATTTGTACTATAACACATATAATCTTTATTATATAGTCATTTTTAATCTCTTTCTCAAGCACTAACATCTTCTTCATATAGTTTGATTTCATAGTCACAAATCTGAAATCCAAACCCATAGTTTGCTCCAGCCTTAATATAAAAAAGTCGATTGTTAAAAGTTCGATGAAATAAAAGAATCATAACTTAAAATTATAAATTGTCACATCTTCAATTTTGTTAACCAGATAAAGGAAAATAGTTTAATTAAGACTAAACTGAAATTTTAGTGACCCAATTGACAAGAAAAATATTAAGTAGTCAAAATAAAATTGAACCAATAATTAATCTTTATTTTTATATTATTTACTAAACTATTATTTAATACATTGTATCGGAAAAATTCACAAATAACTTCAATACAATGACAAACATTTTTAAATTGCTTTTAATTATTTATGTTCAATTTGTTTAGATATATGATATTTATTTGTTAGATTTTTTCTTGCTACTTAATTAATTAACTATTCTTATATGAAATAAAATATTAAATTATAAAGATTTTATTTATATTGATGTGTTGGTAGTGTATGTTTTTTTATACACAATAAATATGTAATCAACTTATTATATTTGTTGAAGGGTTGAGCTATTTGTTAAAATTGAAAGGTTAGTCCAATAAATAGAAGGATTTTTAAATAAAAGTATCTTCATATCTTCACCATATTTTGCATGCTTTTGAATAGAGAGGGAAGTATTAAGAGCATGGGAGGAAATTTTTTAAGAATGGGTATAAGATTCAAATTTGATGAGTTTTGATCTGGTTTTAATCAGTTATCATTAAATTTTAAAATTTTTCAACTACTCTTTATAAGTTTCTCTCACCGATAGAAATATATTCGTCGTTGAAATTGTCGAAAACAACCATAGGTCATGGGAAATTACCATACCGAAATATGAGTTTTTTTCTCTTTTTATGTTCTCTATTCTTTGGGGTTTTATTTTCTTTTTCTAACTTCGTTTTATGTTTTTTGTTTGCTTTTTTTTTAAAATTTTACCTTTGGTTTAATGAAATTAAACTTTGGATGGTTTATGTCAGGTAGGATTGAAGTAAATTTTTACTCTTATGTTTCAAGGTGAATTTCATAAGGATGCGACTCTTTTAAAATCATGTCGAGTTGAAAATTCCCAGATCGATATTAGAATGATCAAAACTCAACCTATGCACATCTCTACTCGTTTCATTTTTTTTTATCTAACGATAATTTCAATTTCTACTAGTTTAAATACTTATAAAATTAAATATTGTTTCTTCTAAATTTCAGAGTAAAATATTTTACAATTTCTTATTAACTTTAAAATTAAATGATTTAACCCTTATGTTGTCTAATCCTAACTTCGTATTTGCTTATGAATTAAAACTAAAAAAGGGCATTGTAATTGAGCCAACATTTTCTCAAACAATTTCATTTGTAATTGAAGGAATGCATATTGAGAAGATAGTCAAAGTCAACCCTAAAGTTATATATATATATATATATATTATATATATATATATATATATAACGGCACGTGATTGAGATTTCATTTTCCTTCTCTTAACCAAGTTGACAGCCTTTTTGAGAGTTGACTTTGTAATGTTTTTACCAAAGGTTAGCCCTTTGACTTTTGGTCGGGCGAAAATAAGTTTGGAAAATATTCTTTCATATTTAGGTGATTTAATACGATTATATTATATTATATTATATTTGAGTGATTGTATTTGGTACTTAACATTAATAATATTATGATATAATAATTATAAGTGCATCAAAATATAAATATATGAATTTTATTAGCGTTTATTTTAAGATATTATGATAATTATACATTGAAAAATATTTTTATATGACAACTTTTTTTTTTGAATTAACATATGATAACTTTAAAATATTTTTTAATCCGTATATAAATGAGTTGAAAAATCTCGATGACAAGTAAGGCTAATTGATAAGATCAAAATGTGAATAAGAAAGGGTCAAAGAAACGACTTGATTGATGTTAATGATATGAACTTCATCAATCAATAGCTCAACTACTAACATTAATTACCTTCTCATTCATTCTTTATTTCGATAGGGTGTAATTATTCGTGATTCAGATAAAAGATTCTCGGTATTTGTTAAGAATAACTACGGATGAAGAAGAAAATAAGTATTATATCGACGGTAAATATAATAGGATTTCTCAAAATACATTAAAATTTAGGCTCCTATATTTTTATTTTAAATAGTTTAAAATGATTTTTTTGGGATAAGTAACCTTTTATATATCCAAAAGAAAGCAGTCAAAAACTGCTACAAAAAAACTACACAAACAGACCCCAAGTAGCACACAGTTGCATGTTAATCCCATCATTCATCTCTATACAGTTTCTATACAATTTAGTCCCAACAGCCTCTTTTATGCAGTTAACAATCTCACCCATCGAACGATTAGAGCTTCTAAACTACCTATGATTGCGGTCTTCCCATATATAATACAAAAATCCAGTCCAAGCCAACCTGAGAACATGAACAAGGAGAGATTTACCTTTGAAATTGGCCACAGCCCATTGAAGATCAGCCTCCCAGCAACGTGGAGTATGCCTCAACCTGCAGGTCTGCAGTATCTCACCCCACACATTCCTAGAGAAGGAACAATCAGCAAAGAGATGTCTCCTAGACTCCATATCACAGCTACATAATCCGCAAGTACCATCAACAACCATCCCAAATCGAATTAGCCTGTCTTTAGTAGGCTGCATGTCAAGTATAACCATCCAAGCAATGATGGAAAACTTGGGAATATGAGTAAGGAACCAAATAAGACAGTACCATTTAAGCAATAGTTTAAAATGATTACAAAGTAGGATTTGTTCATAATTTTTTTTAATCATTGACAACGCACACGTACTTTATAGATATAATTACTCAAACTTAAAATTTTAAAGAGAACAACAATTCATTCTATTATTGAGATCGTTTGATGAGTTCTAAAATCCTAACATGTGTTAGTGAGTATATAAAATCTTCATTTGAGGGAAACCCAACGACATAATTGACTTAATTTATAATTAATGTAAATGAATTCGACATATAATAAAGCGTACGGATAATGTTGATGATCTTGTTAGAAATAATAGATAATCAATAAAGTTAATTAATGAGTAGACGGATAAAGTTAATTGGTGAGTGGAATTTTAAAACTAGCAAATAATAAAATTTAATTTTAAACTCTTCGGAAAAAAAACTCTTAATAGTTTTGAAGTGTTACTCCATAATTAAGGATGAATATTTTATCCGAACACAAAGAGTTTCGACTTGATTTGATTCGATCAAATTGTTTTTTAATTCATATCATATTTTTTTAGGATCGATGTAGTTGGATTCAAGTTTAAGGCAAAAAAAAAAATAACTAATCTAACTCGATTTGAGTTAACATTATAATGATCTCTTATATATTTATGGATAATTACAATAATATATCTTTATATATATTATTTCTAATTAGATCCTTATTTTACTTAATAAAAAGGAATTATATATATATTTTAATCAAACAAAATGTGAAAATTTTGATCTCAAAATTCGGGTCAAGTTTTAATATGAGCGAGGCTCTCTTAAAATTGAATAAGATCAAATACAAATATATATATTTAATTTCCAAGTCGAGCTCAAAAACTCGATCCATTGTGACCTCTATTCATCTTTATCTATAATAATCTCCATATATTTCATACTAGCATAAATTATTTTTTATACTCTAACATAATAGTTTTAATGGTTTCACTTAGATCTAAACTCATCAAATGGTTTTAGAGAATGTTGATCTCTCTATAGGTTCTGTGTTCGAGTAACAATATTTGTAAAATATATATATTATCAATAGACTAAGAAAATTATCAACAAATAATATATTGTAATAATTAACCTAAACAATTAAAAAAATAGTTTCACTTGGATCTAACATGCGTCAGTGTATATGTCTGACTTTACTTATAATTAATGTACATGAATTGACCTTGTCATAAGTGTAGGGATGTTGAAGATCCGCGTGAAATAAATACGCCTAACCTACTTTCTTCAACTGTAAAAGCAATCACTTGCATGCCTTTTTTTCTTTTTCGATATGATCATTGCATCATCTTCTTCTCCTCCATCTCTCTATATATATCACTTACTAGTCGCCATTGTTTCCATCAAGCTTCCTTCCTTCCTCTCTTTCTTATTCGTGCTTTCATACGACAGTAACAATGGTGAAATCGTGTGTTCTGTTTGGTTTTGGGTTAGCTTTAGTTCTGAGTTTGAGCTTTGGGGGAATCAATGGAGCACCCCAAGTTCCATGTTACTTTGTATTTGGGGATTCATTGGTTGATAATGGGAATAACAATCGATTATCATCACTTGCTAAAGCTAATTACATGCCTTATGGAATCGATTTCCCTAATGGACCAACTGGAAGATTCTCCAATGGTAAAACCACCGTAGATGTCATTGGTAAGCTTCTGAATTTCCATATATATACATATATGTATGTATGTTTGTATATATATGTATAGTGTCTTCTTCCATCTGTTTGACAAAAAGAAACTTTGGGTCTGTTCTATCTACAGCTGAACTTTTGGGGTTTGAACACTACATTCCTATATATATATATGTGTATGTATGTATGCATATTGTCTTTTTCCGTCTGTATGACAAAAAGAAACCTTGGTCTGTTCTATCTACAGCTGAACTTTTGGGCCGGTTTGCAAACTGCATTCCTATGTATGTATGTATGTATGTATGTATGTATTTATGTATGTATATTGTCTTCTTCCATCTGTTTGACAAAAAGAAACTTTGGGTCTATTCTATCAACAGCTGAACTTTTGGGGTTCGAAAACTACATTCCTCCATACTCAAATGCTAGAGGTAGACAAATCCTCGAAGGAGTTAACTACGCGTCGGCAGCTGCCGGAATCCGAGAAGAAACTGGACAACAGCTGGGAGCACGGATCAGTTTCAGTGGACAAGTTAGAAACTACAGGCAAACTGTTGGACAAGTGGTGAACTTGCTTGGGAGTGAAGCAAACGCAGCAGATTACTTGAGCAAATGTATTTACTCCATTGGACTTGGCAGCAATGACTACCTCAACAACTATTTCATGCCCCTTTTCTACTCCACCAGTAGGCGATATAACCCCGAACAATACGCTGATGTTCTTATCCAACAATATACTCAGCAGCTTCAGGTTAGTTCTCTATGTTCGTGTTTACATATTCGAATCGCTTTCATCGGAGGTGAACACACCGTCCTTATTGTTTTACGGGGATGGTGATTTTCAGGCATTGTACAACTATGGGGCAAGGAAGTTTGTTTTGATCGGATTAGGTCAGATCGGGTGCAGCCCTAACGAATTGGCTCAAAACAGCAGAGATGGTACAACTTGTGTGGAGAGAATCAATGCTGCCAATAGGATATTCAACAACAAGCTCAAAGCTCTTGTTGATCAATTCAATAACAATGATTCAGACGCAAAGTTCATCTACGTTGATGTTTATGGGATTTTCCAAGACATTACAAGCAATCCTTTGGCTTTCGGTAAGAACAATACTAATCGAAACCGATGTAAACACTCGTTGATCAATATTCAACAATATCAATCTGACTCGATTATATGTTACTGTGTGCTATGTTTCAGGGTTTAGGGTTACAAATGCAGGATGTTGTGGTGTTGGAAGGAACAATGGACAAATCACTTGCTTGCCTTTACAAAGGCCATGTAGAAATAGGAATGAGTATTTGTTTTGGGATGCTTTTCATCCAACTGAGGCTGCAAATTTGATCATTGGAAGGAGGTCATACAGTGGTCAGTCGCCGTCCGATGCATATCCAATCGATATTCGTCGTCTTGCTCAGCTTTGACGACGGCGATGAAGTGAAGGTGGCTTTGATGATAAATAATTAGATTATTCACACTATTTTTTCTTCTTGTTATTAGTTTGATTTCAGCCATTAGTGTCATTGTTCTAAGGAGTGAGTTTACAAAGTCATTGTTCTGTGTATTTCTTTATTACGAAGAAAGCTGTTGAGGAAATTGGGTTTCGAATTTCAAACTTATTCGATATCCTTGAGTAAATGTGATATTAGTATGGAATATAAATTTGTTGGTCAATTTGTTGTTTTGGTGCCTGGCAAATGAAAAGCAAATTCAAAAAAGGGTAAATTGAAAATTTATCCCTAAACTTATTTAGGTTTACAAAAAGCTCATAATTAGCTTTTTTATCTAAAGTTCAGAGGTTAAAATAAAAATTAAACCCTTTTACGTACGTGTCATATCATGAAACTAGCGATATTCAATGTCTTAATGATCAAAACTTAATAAAACGATAACATAACGAACTAAAACTTAACTTTGTTTTTTGAGTTTTGTGAGCAAAAGTATACAAATATAAAAGGTAAACGATCATTTCAATGGTTTACCCTAAATTATATTTACATAAAATCAAGCAATAAAGGTAACCACACGTTCATTTACACAAAATAAATAAATAACAAGTATTTTTATCAATAAATTCAAATCGAATACTAAAAATACTCGTTGTAGAACCTATCCTCTCAACCTAATTTATTCCATTCATAATGTTATTATTTGAATTTACGCCTTTACTTAAATAATCTAACATCTTATATGGACTAACAAGTAATTTTTTAAATAATAGGGTTTTTTTAACAATAATTACATGAATTTTTTAGGAAAGAGGCCCTTTAATAATCTCCAGCAATGGCTTATCAGTTTATCTAACCAAGTTATAAACCCAAGCACCCGACACTGCTCCAATGATCGGCGACGTAAGATATATCCATATTCCTTTGTAATGGTTTGACACAATTGCCGGTCCCAAGCTCCGTGCCGGATTCATCGATGCTCCTGTTATCGGCCTGCCGAAACAGGATCATAATATATCAGCACAAAGATGTCAGGAAAAGAACAACGATGGCAATGACAAACATGCTTGGTTTTTTACAGGGATGAAACCAAGATTAAATAATGGGAGAAGTTAAGTCGCATCGAATACATATATATACATTAAATATACGGTATATATATATATATAGAGAGAGAGAGAATACTAAAGTAGGTTAGAGAGAAAAGCTCATACCCAGCAATCAACACATTAAGCAGCACGGTAGAGCCAACGGCAAGTCCTGCAAGTTCTCCAATCTTCATAAACAAACGGGAATGAAACTAAGTCAGAGGGATCAAAATATAATCCGATATATAGTATAGTGACTTTTATAGTAATTTTATACGAATATAAATCAAAGCTATTATAAATCCCGGTTGCTATCAAATGCCAATGAGAACCGTTGGCTTAGGCTTACAATGGAAGAAGTGATATGGTGAAATCGGGTGTAATTCGGTCGGTTCATGTGACAAAAACCCGAGTCCTTTATTCGGTTTGATTTCGAATCTCGACATTTGTATCTATTTTTCTATGACTTCTTTTGGAGGGAAAGAGGAGGAGGTGAAAAGGTAAAACTTACAGCCCTGTTATCCGTGGTAGCACCGGATATAATGAACATAAGGTAGAAAGTGATGATGAACTCGATCACGAATGCCTGCAAATCCGACCCTTGCGGCGACGTTCCGGCGAAGACATCATGCGGTCCGCTAAAAAGTAACCGCAGGGTCCCAGCCGCCAGTGTCGATCCAACAACTTGAGCCAATATGTAAACTGGCACCTACATAAACAAAGCAAAGCAAATCGACCATTGGAAACTCGTTCTTCTAAACCCTCACAGGTTCTTAAAATTTGATTTAAACACTTGCCTTTTCATGAGGAAATCTTTTGCAGGTAGCAAAAGCAATGGTGATTGCAGGGTTAAAATGGGCACCGGAGACGTGAGCCAATGAGTAAAACAAGACGATCACGGCTAATCCCCACACCAAGGCGATCCCCGGATGTGAAATCTCATTGTCATTGTTGGTATTCACCACCACTGCTGCACAGCCGGCAAATATCAGAAAATATGTGCCTAACACCTCAGCTAACAGCTGCAAATTACAAAACAAAATCAAACAAATCACTCTCTTGAAACCATAAAAAAATCCAGCAATCATGTCGCGAGAAGAACCGGAATTATCTTCTTTGTGTACTCACAAGTCCCATAGGTGCACACCTGAAGATGACAAAACCTTGAGAGACTTGTGAGTACACAAAGCGGACAACTCGAGCTGGTTCGTGACATTAATAGACATATATATGGTGACCTTTTGCATGAATGGCACAGAGAAACAGTTGTGAGATTCTTTGGTTTTGGAGGATGATGGAGGACTATGATCATTGGCTTCACCATTAACATTCAAGACAACATGATTTCCATTACTCCGAGACTCCGAGATTTCAGCCATGATCGCTAACTTTTATCAGATATTCGGATCGAAATCGAGAGCAAAGATTGCTTTATATTCTTTAACAAACTAGGAATAGTCGTGGAAATGAAACTGACAAAATCATGCCAATTTAAGGTGCAGCCTGAGAGATATAAAAAAGAAGGGTAAGAGAGAAAATACTGAACATAACTTCAAGTTTGATCGGATAATCCGAATGGAGTACGAGTTTTACTAATCTTCAAACTGATCATGGCAGGCACAGGAATCACGCGCCTTTGTTTTAATATGAACACTACTCTTATCTGAATTAGATTTTTCAAGGCCGTATTCTATGAAACACCTGGGAAACATGAAATTGATCATGTGATATTCTCAACTAGCTGTTCAAAGGTAAAACATGTTCTTTTTTTTTTTAGTCTTAATCTTATCTAATCTTAATTAAGGTTGAAAAGTAGTTTCTAGATTTGTTTATTCACATGATAAATTCTTTTCTGTTAACAGTAATAAAAGACTAGTCTAGTATGATGGTTAGACTTGTATTTAGATAAAGTTTGGATTAAATACTTAATTTAATAAAAATAATAATAATTTATAATTAAATTTAATTATATTATTATAGATAATATCGAGTTATTATTTTATGTATGGCGGTGGAAAATTTATTTTTCAGAAGAAAATATAATTTAATTTTATAATTAAAGAATACCCAAACTCCTGGTTGATGTTTAACCTTGATGTTTTTTGGGGGGTTGTTTAATATTAAATGAATAATAGCCTAAAATTGGAATTGAAAACATTGTAGTTTAAAATAAAAATTCATTTTTAAATATTTTTAAGATGTCAGTTTTTTTTTTTGAAAAATATTCATAAACAAAAGTGCCATGCCATTTAAGTGTAATTAATGGGTGATTGTATTTAATATGCACGTATTTCATGTTCAAAATTTTGATACATTTTAATAATTGTGTTGTGATTATAACTTTTTTTTATAAAAAATTGGGTTGATAAGATTAAAGTCGTTAATTTTATTAAAACTAAAAAATATTCAAATTACAATAAAAGTTTACAATTATAATAGGAAACTAAAACACAAATATTTTCTTATAACCATTAACATAATAAACTAACAACTTAAGATCACAAGGATTATATAAGGAAAAGATTAAAAAAACTAACCAAATAAATTTGAATAAAAGGTAGATACGAACATTCATGACCGCTTTGGCAAACAAACCATAAAAGATGATCAAACTATTGAAAGATCACCCGACAACCACAAATCAGAATCGAGTGACGTGAGAAAATTATCCACGAACTCAAACCACAAATCAGAATCGAGTGAGAGAAAATTATCCACGAACTCAAATGATGTATCCAAATATAATTAGAGGGTCCAAACTAGGGAAGATCAACACGATAACAAAAGAACGTCATCTTAATCAATCATGACAATGTCAAATCCAATCATAATAAAAGGGATAAACGAAAATAGGTCAAACGACCTAAAATGTGCCAAAAGGCAGAAGAAATGTGTCATGAAGACAGAAAAAAATATATCATAAATGTATAGTTATTAAAAATTAAAAACAAGAAAAAAAATAAAGATAAGGTCTAATAAAATAAAGAAATATTAAAAATTAAAAACAAGAAAAAAAATAAAGATAAGGTCTAATAAAATAAAGAAAAAACAATTAAATATCGACAATCAACACTAAGGTCGGTACCGCAGTCGATTACAAAGATGAAGAAGAAGAAAAAAAACTAACAACGTCACAAGAAAAAGAAAGAAAACTAGGATTACAAATATTTATTTAGTTTACTTAAATTATCATTTTAAATAAAAAACTTGTGAAGATTTAATTTTTGTTCTTTTACATTTTTTTAAGGACAGACAAAATCTCAACCTTGACTGAAGTATAAGGACTGAGAGTATATATTTACCCAAAAAACAAAGAAATGGTTTGAGAATTTATACCCTTGGAGAAAACTGGGGTTTGACCACTGAGTTGTTCCAAGACCTAAACGAAAGCAAAAGCTAATATTGAAGTAAAATGATTTGGAGATTTGAGAATGGATGTGTTCAGGGTACCTTGGCTGCACGGTGAGACCATCACCGCTTTCACCGACGGAGATGTTGAGGACCAGCTTCTCAACTTTGATTTCCCTCTTGGGATTCGATAATTTCTTCTCCGATGCCTTCCGTAATTAGTCAAAAACCCAACTAAGGTAATTAATGCCGAATACGAGCATGCATGCGTGCGTGCGGCGTAAATAATGATAAAAAAAAACTCACACGTAAATTCAATCTAAAACATTAAAAAATAGATTATCCAATTAAATAAAATATTAGAATTTAATTATATTTATTTATTATTCATCTTTTAGTGACACTATTCTAATCGAACTAGGATTTTAGTTTTTCATATTTCACGTTTTCTCTTCTATAAATTAAAACCAGAAACCTATTTTCATCATTCACATAATAATCCACATCCATCTTTTCGAGTATAACACAAAACTCATATACATGGCTATGATATTTTACCATTACAACAACTTCGAAGATTTTTATTCATTTCCAACCGAAGATCATTTTGTTTTAGTTTCAAATTCCACCAGCAACTACCGTAATAATAGTGATCTTGGATTTGACAAAAGGGTTTTAAAGAAATCGATTTCAAGTTCCAATAATTCAGGGGTTTTACGGGCTTCGAACTCTACCCTATGCAAGTGTAATTCCAAGGCTGGAGAACCACATGCAACGTCCAACTGTGTTTCTCCTATCACACCACCAATTAAATGGTGTATATGGAAGAAGCCAGAATCAGGGTGTATAAAATTAAATACTGATGGATCAATAGTTCGGGGATATTCAGGTTTTGGTGGTTTACTTCGAGACCACCAGGGTAAGCCATTGTGTGGTTTCGTCACAAGATCTTTCCAGGATAATATTTTCTTGGTTGAACTGTTGGCCGTATGGAGAGGTATTATGCTTGCTTTAGATTTAGGAGTTAGTGTAATTTGGATTGAATCCGATTCACTAAGTGTTGTTAAAACCCTTAACCGAGAGCAATCATATGATCCGAAGATTGATAGGTACTTGGGAGAAATTTGGAATCTGCTAACTATGTTTGAAGACTACCGCGTGACACATACCTGGCGCGAAGCTAATAAAGCAGCAGATTATCTTTCAAGGAAGCGTATAGACGAAGATGAAGTAGTGTTGTGGCCGATTGATTTCCCTAATGTCCTTCACAATATTATCAAGGATGATGCACAAAGAAAGATTTACTTTAGGCCTTAAAAAGGGTTCTTAGAAGCGAAGCTTCCACTGTGAAAAAGAAAGCCTCTTGTAAAGAACGAAGATGAACAAAACAGAATCCGGTCTGATTGAATTTATTGTACAATATCTCAATGAAATGTAATATTTGAAGAGTATCTTCACTTCTTCATATGCGCTTGTTTTGGTGGATCAATGAAATGTAATATTCGAATAACAAAAAAACTATATTTTATTGGTCCGACCACGCATTTGATTCACATTTTCACCCTTGACCATATTCATTTTGAAACAAAAGCAAGATCACATAAGCTTCTGGAGACTCGAGATTAACTCCAACTTAATCGTCAAACGATTACGTACAATAAATTTTGCTCTGAGCACCATACCGCAGTTATTTTCATTTTTTAACTCTTTTTTTGAGAAGAAAATTACGACAGATATAATACCTATGTAATTTCATACATAAACATGAAGATATAACCATCCAAGCCCCTCCCAAATACATAGAAGAAATTAATATACCTGAATCATTCGTCGCATACCCGTATCCGACAGTCAAAATCGAATCCGAATAACAGAGAAGCGGAGTCCGAGTAATATAGAAGCAAATTCGAGATATGCATGTTGTTCGGACTCTTTATTTTTCTTTGAACACGCATATTCGACATATATTGAACATGAATATGATTATACGAGGATAAACTTACAAAAATTTAAGAGAATGAAAACATATTATCAATAGAAAATACTTAAATTATGTGAAGATTTAAAATTTTCGATTACTATCTGCACCAACCTTCGACTATTAACTATTAAGGGCATGAGAGAGACTGGTGCCTAGTATGGTTTAATCCTGATTTCGTCCTTTGATTTTCTAAGACCCTTCCAAATACATAGAAAAAATGAACATACTTATGTCCGACTTCGATACATGCCGGAATCGGACAGTCCGATTCAAGTTCGAGTAACATAGCAAAAGAAAAGATTTACAGAATGCCCTAAAGAGGCTAAATTGTTACACAATTACACAGCCTAAGCTAACATAGATCTAATAAACACCATTGTTGAACATACAAGAAACATATCTAAGATAACTCGTAGAAAAAGCTAAATTCATCAAATTTCAATTCAATTCTCAACTAATCTACATAGATCAGCAAATCAAACAGTGGAAAAATCAAAAAAAGAACAAAAAGTAACAAGAACCTAGATTATAAATCAGATTCAAATTGATCAGATCAACTCAAATTCATTCACAAACAAACTATGAGTTCAATCAATTACAAAGAAAAACTTGTTGGGGCAAGCGCCGAGCTTCGGCCTTCTTGAAGCACATGTCGTCTAAAGCTTCACTTCGACACCAACGACACACTGGGTTCTGCAAACACTGAGATCTGGAGGACATTTCGCTACAGCTTGGGATCTGGTTCTTGTTGTTGTTCCTTTGCAGAACTAACGAAGTACGGCGCCATGAAGGAATCAAAGGGTCTTTGCCGATGAAGCTATTATCAGTTGCTGCTGCTGCTGTTGATAGTAATAAAAGGAAGATAACTGGGAAGAAGATGGAAAGCTTAGAGCTGGATGTGGTTTCCATGGAGACATTCAACAAATTGGCTGCCTTTTTCATCTTTTTTCTGTGTGTTAAAAGTCTTAAAAGAAAAAATTTGTTTTTTTTTTACTTTTTATTAATTTAGGACTTGAGTTTGCTTCTTTTTATCTTCTTGTCCTTTGTGGGGTTAGGATTGAACATCTCTATTTAAATTTAATTTGAGCATTTTATTTTTTAAAATAAAATAAAGATCTAATTAGAAAATATAGAAAGAAAAATATTATTATAATTATTTTTAAATATACAAGAGATAATTATATTATTATATTAAGTGAAATGGAAAAATTTTCACTCTATATACTAAAGTCAACTCAATTATATCTTTAACAAAATTTGGCCCATTCCAACATGATTTTATCTTTATAAATTTAATAAAATTAATTATTTATGATGTAAAATCTTATTTATAATCGATATATATTAAAATATAAATCAAAATAAATATGAACAAAACTTACATACAACAAAATTTAAATCGAAAAATAAATTTAAAAAATCTAAATATGATTTACACTCAATCTAAATTTATAATCTTAAAATTCTCACAATATCAATCATACCATTAAATCAAGGTCATATACCAATTATATTATAATTAACTTAAAGAAAAATTATAAATTTATAAATACAGATCACAAATTAATATAAATTATATCGATAAAAGAGAGTTATTTTTTTATTAATTTTGAGTTTAAACAATTATATTTATAGAGTGTATATATTTTATCAATTAATTAAAAATATTTTAAACAAATAATATTTTTTAATCATCTCAAACATATAAAAGATATTAAATTTTCTCCCTATTATATATAATATTAATTAAAAGTACTTATGAGTAAAATTTATTACATACCATTCATTTATTTATTAAAATTATAAATAGATTATTAAATTCCAAAAACTTATAAAAGAGTCGCTTAACTAATTTATTTATTAATTGTAATTATTATGTCATTCAATTCTGATTAAAATTTTGATTTCACTTTTAATGATAGAGACATCGGTTTGTTTACGATCGATTAATTGAATAATTTATTTATAAATTTTAAAATTTAGTGAATTATTTATAAACTTATCAATAGTTAAGTGACCTGTGATGTATTTTACTCCATATTTATATATTTCGTGTATTTGATGCAAAACTCCTATATGTGCCGTCTGAAGACGTAAACGTCAAAAAGGACTCTCCAAGTTTTTAAAGGCAATTTTCATCTCATCCTTCAATGATTGATGATTTTGATGAAATTGATTTCAATTCAAAAACATTTTTCTATAAAAATTCCTCTTTTAAATCAGCTCAAATCCTTAAAAATTTCTATTTTTTCTCAGTAATTAGTAACATTTATTTATACCCTTTTTTTTGCTAAAGAATTTAATTTCAGGTCGATCACTTTATGGAGGGCTCCAATCAAAATTCCGGCTTTGATTCTAGGGTTTCTTCTCTCTCCCTAAACGAGGATGCCGCCGGCAATCGGAACCCCAATTCTATCCCGGTAAGTCTTTGAAATTGTTTCCATTTATCGAATTAATCATATAATCATCGAATTCAGAAAATTAGGGTTTTTAATTTCAATTTGGTCTTCCCGATACCCTTTGATCTTTTTAAGTATGGGTCTACCTTTATTGCAAAATTCAAGCTCGGGAATTAAAAAAATGTTTTTTACCCTTTGAATTCAAAATTTTGGGGATTTTTCTGAGCTGGGTGTTATTATATTGTATTAATATTTGATGTATTGTTGTGTGTAATTTTATAAATAAAGTTGAATTTAGTTTTAATTATTTTGAAAAACGGTAAGTGCGTCGAATATAATTATTTTATATTATTTGATGATTATTTTCTTATTCCAATTCATTTTAATTCTAGGATGCTACTGTTGAGGGTCAAGGAATTAATGGTTCTAGAGAATATGATAATGGATTATCAATGTCAACTAAAAGTATGCAGGAGTTGGATGATACAGAAAAAGAAGTTAAAGAACCGAAAACTGACCTTCAAAAGACTGGAAAATACTTCTTTTATGACTCCCCTCTTGCTGAGGACACTGGGGTTTGGATACCGGTCTCTGTTCCACCAATGCTTGAAAGCGATCACGAACTATGGGCCAAAGGTTTTTCTTCCAATGGAGGTTATTTCCCTGAAGGCGACATGGGATGGGGTGAGTTCCTTGGTGAAGAGAAGGAATTGACCATGTGGGATGTGATAGTTGAGATGATACTTGCTGCCCGTGGGAAAGTGAATGCGTTAACTTCTGGTGATATTCAGCGATGTGGAGTTTCGTGGATATCAAGTCATTTGCTTGAGCAAGCTTGGCAAGAGATGGCCCAGACTCTAAACGAGGCAAATATGGGTAACGTGAAGGAAATTCTAGAAGCAGAACCCCCAAAGTGGTTGGCTGACAGTGCTGCTTCAGCTTGTATGTTGTGTGGTGTGAGGTTTCACCCGATCATGTGTTCGAGACACCATTGCAGGTTTTGTGGAGGAATATTTTGTGGTGAGTGTTCTAAAGGAAGGAGTTTAATGCCCCAAAAGTATCGTGTAACGGATCCACAACGTGTCTGTGATGTATGCTGTGTACGGCTTGAGTCTGTCCAGCCATACTTGATGGACCAAGTTAGTAACGCTGCTCAGCTGCCAACTCATGACCTGACTGATCTGAGTACTTTGAGATCTTGGCTTAATTTTCCCTGGGGACAGTCCATGGAACATGAGATTTATAAGGCAACAAATGCAATTCGAGGTTATATTACTAAGGTAAGGATCAAGCTTTTAGGTTTACTTGTCATTGATTACATGTTAACCAGTAAAACAGTTCTTATTGTTTTGCATAAAATTGCAACTTCCTGCGAATATGAAGGGCCTGCTATTCTGCTAGTTGCTTTTGCTTGATGATTTTTCATTTTAGTACTTGAAGTTCTCATTGAAACTAAACTTTTTCTTCAGAATTCTCACTGTTTTCTTTTTCACCGGCCAGGTTGGTTCTTTGAAACCTGAGAAATCGATTCCAGACTCCATCCTCCGAGAAGCAAAAGGCCTTGCCATAATCTCTGTTATGAAAGTTGGTGTCATGGTGACATATAATATTGGTACGGGACTTGTGATTGCTCGTAGAGAGGATGGCTCATGGTCTCCACCTTCTGCCATTTCCTCATTTGGTGTGGGATGGGGAGCTCAGGTGAATACATGAATCTTTGTTCTCTATCGACACGTATGCTAAAGTTTTCCTATTGGATATTCATACCTAAGAAACTGCAAATGGTAACATTCGATCATTTGTTCACTCTATTCAAATTCCTGGCTGCTACTCTTCCTAGATTATGGTGATGGAACAAAATCATTTTTGTTTGTTTTTTTTCCAAAAATGATTTTCGTTGTTTAAATATGACATGTGGGCATAGTCGATATTATGGACTGGGGACCTCAATCGGAATTTGTTGACAGTAGATGCAATGGGCCAATCATGTGAAATTAAATTTTCTTTCACTTTTTTCCTAACCATTTTAATACATCTGCAGGCCGGGGGAGAACTGACAGATTTTATTATAATCTTGAGAACAAACGACGCTGTTAAGACTTTTGGTGGCAATGCACATCTTTCTGTTGGAGCCGGTTTAAGTGCTGCTGTTGGTATTGTTGGACGGACTGTGGAAGCCGATGTACGAGCCGGTGATGGTGGTTATGCTGCTTGTTATTCATATAGCTGTAGTAAAGGTATCAACTCATCCCATCTTAGGTTTTCTGTCTCTCTCGACCATAATCAATTTCAGTTCGGTTGCATATCTTAGTGATGTTTTAGGGTCTGATAGTATCATGTTGAATATCTTCGTAGCGTTGTCTGATGGCTACATGACAATAAAGCCATCGACTCATACACTTGTAATCATGCCAAATTAAGTATTGCTGATGAAATTTCATAGGTTTGTTTAAAGTTGGAGATCAGTCAGTTAATTTGATTCATGTTTGAATTATGCAGGTGCTTTTGTTGGATGTTCACTTGAAGGAAGTGTTGTCACCACTCGGGTACGGGAGAATTCCCGATTCTATGGCAGCCAGTCGATGACTGCATCAGATATACTTCTCGGGTCCATTCCTCGACCACCAGCCGCCGCCACTCTCTATCGAGCGCTTTCCGATCTATATAGCACACTAGGTTGAGCGCCCGAAGTTGGAAATCAAACTAATTGCTTCGATATTCAGTATGAAAAAGATCCAATGGAGCATGAATCTTAATATATCTTGTGTACATTCTCTGTAAATCATATATTCTAATCTCCCATACTATATGATTCTTTGCCTGTGTAAAAGTTGATATTGGTGATTTTTTTTTTTTGATAGAAATTGGATAGGTCTCGTTAAAAACTCCCTTCTTGACCTCCATGTTACAACAATAACATGAAGGGCATAGGAAGGAGGAAAAGAGTGCCTAAAAATTCATTAATACCAGAATAATACATATCCATCCAGAAGTTCTGTTACAACATAAAACTTAAAAACCAAGCACAGAACATAAAAGCCAGCTCAATAATTGTGCAACCTAGCTAATAATCTAATATTCATCCTATTCCTTCTTTAGCTAGTTTATCTGTTTCACAATTAGCAGATCTCAAAATATGCCTAACAATTACCCCTCTACTCTCTACTAATGCAGCAATGTCTTTCACCAACGATTTTTAATCCATTTCAGTGCATTAAGGGAATCTGATTCCAATATGACCCTTGGAAATGAAACCAAAGATTTCTCCTCAATATACATCAGCCCTCTTTTTATAGCTAATAACTCTGAAAGAATAGGAAGACCCCCCCAATCCTTTCGGAAAACAAACCCTGTTGCAACCCTTGAGCATCCCTTAATAATCCACCAATGCCTCCTTTATCCCACTCCTTAGACATCGCACCATCAACATTTAATTTAACGTAACCCAAGGGAGGAGCAGTCCAACACGAGGAAGAAATAGAATCCTTCTTCATTCTTACCCCCAAATCAGCTATTTTAATATCACCCACAAGAGAATCAAAATTTATCTGGATATTGGTGATTATTGTATAGGGGTTCTAGGTCTACCAAAAGGGCAGGACTCGAACCCGGATTCGGACCCGGATGTCGAAACCTGAATGAAAATTGAAAGATTGGCTTGTTAATATGATGTATATGATGAAGGATATTCAGATATCGTATAAATTCAACACATTTGTATATTCGTGTCGTTTTTTCCTATTGTTTTATGTTTTTTGTGTGTTCTCGTACCAAGTTAATGTTGCATGTAATGTAATCGTGTTGTGTCCGGGAATTCACTGCCTAAGCATCTCATTGACCTTATAAAATTCCCGTGAGTTCAAAGCGAAGTTCATATAGTTTTTGAAAGGTTTAATTATGGTTATGGTCCTTTTACTATACTTAAATTTGATATTTAGTCCATGGTGGTTAGTTAATTCAGTAGTTGACATCATTAATTATTTTAATTAAAATGTTGATGTCTTAACGGTATTAACGTTTTGGACAGAGTAACAATATTATAAAAATAGCAGATCGAATAATGCCAAATAATAGGCACAGAGTTTTGAAGTTTTAACCAGCAGAGGGGCCAAAATAAAAGTTTTACCTTTTTGAAAACCAAGTTAAAGATTAGGCTAACTTGCTGAAACGCGCGACTGTGGTAATAGATAAACACATTATACAGCCTTCACAAAAGTCCAGGACAGCGTGATCATATTGTGCGGCTCCTTTTTTCCCCCCCTAATATTAATATATAATAATATTGATGTATTTTGATATATTATTTTGAATTTATAGTTATTTTTTATAATTAATCAAAACGCAATAAAATGATTGAAATATAATATTTTAGTTAAACTAAAATTTAAATTATTTAATATCGTTTTAAGACTGATGCCATATTGATTATCGTAATTATCATACAAATTTATAATATATTTCAAATTTATAGTTGTTTTTTTTTTAATATATGGATATATACACATCTCATATACATACTTATAAATATATTTATTAAAAAATGTAAATAGGCATTTAAATTATTATGTTTAATTTAATTAAATGGTTTTTTAAAAACGTTATTAAGATATTTTTAAATTAAAAAACCGTAAATTTAAACACACGTAAATATGATATAAAACATGCCATGAGTACATAGAAAACATATTTGTAAGTCAGAAACAATGAGAAATCTGAGAAATTTTAAATCACTTTCAAACACATGAAATGGGTGAACGGACTGCAGCTTTAAGGGGTAAATACACAGCCATGAGCTATTTGTAAATTGATCTTATGTTCCTCTTTAGCTCGAATGGAGAGATGACGGTGAAGGGGATGAGGTTTCGAACTCGATGATGTTGCCGATCATAACGCGGAATCTTAGATTTCGGAATGAAAACATTACCTAGTATTTGAATTTCCGAGTGTAAGCTCAAGATCATCAGCTACACATTCTTCGTGGATCTTTTCTCCCTCCCAAGGTTTCACTAACCCTGTCGTGTGACTCCCAAAGGCGAACTCGGCAGCAATCGCATCGGACATTGGAACGTCCGATGTTTGATCAACACTGGCTGGCAGTGCTGGTGAGCATGTGCCACTTTGTCCGGGAGTCCACATTCGTGAACCTCCAGCCGATAAAGACTCGTCTTTAAACCCAAACGGGTTTCGAGAGACGAGGCTAAAGGTAGGGGATGTTGGTCCACTAGAAAGCCATCCTGGATCAAGAAAAGCCTGATGGTTAGGACTAGGTGGAGTTGATGAAGGAAGGTAACAATGCCACTGCCTAGCCCGTGCCGAGGCATCTTTCGTTTCATCCCAATCATTTCTTGTTCGAGGAGTTCGGGAAGTCGGGGAGCTCAATGGTGGAGTGACCGGAGCACTTATCGACCCACCAGCAAAGTAGAGATGGTGAGCAAGCTTAGACGAAGCCGAAGATGAACCCGATGAAAGGTTTTTCAACCATGGGATTAAGGAATTGGCATCAGCATTGCTATTGCTATTGCCATTGACTCGGTAATGCGATGAAGCCGGACTCGGGAAGGAAGACGAACGAGGACTCGGATTGTAAGATGCACAAGGACTCAGGTAATACGATGAGCATGGACTAACCGATCCCGAACCTCCCACTATGTCCATGCGATCCACTGGTTTGCATCCCTGCAGAAACGAGAAAAACTCATATCGGATACAGATATACATCCAACACAAGTACGTTCATGCACATAGTAGCTAACACAACAGCAAGGACAACGCCAGGAGGAGCAGGTTTAGTCATACAAAAGTAAAATTGCATTTTAACCCCTAAAAATATTCTGACTTCGTCCATGCACAACTACCTGAATTCGAAGATGCCTCGACCAATAGGCATTAAACAAAAAAGATAAGATAAAATAAGATAGGGGTGAACATCGATCAAGTCAAAATATAAAATTTGAATTAAATCAAATAAATTGAGTTTTGTTCACCTCTAAAACAAGGCATTGGTGAATTATGAAACAAGAAATTGAATTTTGCATAAGTAGAATCTAACAACCAGTCCTCATTTTGCCAAGCATCACATGAGACATTTCGGTTTATATGGGGACACATTTGATGGACCAAATGCAATAATGGGGGCAAACGTAGTCATTGCAACCCGACAAAACAAACTTTGATTAAAAGAGAAAAATAATATAGGATAACCTATAATATACGTCACTAAACTAAATTCATATTATATATTTTATTGTTAAATTCTCAAAAATTATAAAGTACTTATTAAATTTATCAAACTATTACAAAATGATTGTTAAATTTATTACTGTTATAATATCATATTGATTATTTTGTAACATTTAGATCAATTTAATAATCATTTTATATTTATTAAAAATTAAATAACTAAAAAAAATCATTTAAACATAACTCATTAACTAACTGATATCAATTACCCGAAAATCTAATGTCAAAGATAACGGCGTTTACACAAAGCATATACTAATAAATATAATGTTAGGTTTCCTAACACGCTACTCCGTCCAACTAGGGATGACGAGTCGTTTTTCATTGATTCTATCTAATTCAAGAAATATATTTTTGTATTTTGTAGCATGTCACTGCTATTTGGGTAATAAAATCAAATTATCAAAAAAAAAATATTCCTTCCATTTGAATTTTAAGACATCTCATTAAATTTAAAATTCAATATAAATTTTAAGGTAAAAACTCACATACGACTGAACTAGAGATAAATATAAAAAATTATTTTTATTCAATAAAATAGAGAAATAATTTTATATATATATAGAAAAGGTGATATTATAATGATTAATTCCTAAATATATATAAAAAGTTTATATTATTAAGTAGATCGAGTCTAGTCAAAGATTTTTCATCTTAAATTTAAAGTAACGTGTTTCTTTTATAAAACTTAATCAAAACCCTATCCCCACGCGCATTAAAACTAAAGGTATTTAAAATTTATCATAAAAGCTGGAATCCAAGGATTTGTTGTCCCCCTTTTCTCATTTTCTTTCACAAAAACAGATTGGTTGAAGTATAATTCAGTTCCTCTATTATACCAAAACGTAAGATTTAATTCATATACTTTACTCCGACATATTTTGATCTCCTATTTTATAACATATTGATTAATCTAAATAGTTAATACCTTTTAACTGATATGCTTTTTTTTAATGTTGGAATGAGTTTTTGACTTGAGAAAAATTGGCATAGCGTTCTAACTAAAATAGTAAATAGTGTTAATTATTTAACTAAATAATGACATTACAAAAGTAGATATAATATAGATATATATGACTAAATTATGAAAAAATATATAATGTATGACTCAATTACTAAACTGAAATAGTAGATGGACCAAGACCAAATTTTGACCGAACATTTTAAAAAAACATTGCGAAGCCAAAATCCCGGGAAATCTCAAATTTGAGCATAATAAAAGGGACCAAAACCATAATTTAACCCATCTGATTAGAAAAGCATCTCAAAGCCAATAATCCCGGGAACTTTGAGAGGGAAAAAAGTAAATTAACCTTTGGGTCGAAATTACCAAAGTAGCCTTAGTTGTTCCAAGTAGAATTTTTACGTATTACACTAAAGCAAAGTGAAAAAGTTTCAATCTAGGAGATGGATGGCGTTCACGAAATGACGAAACTACCCTTCCTGGAAATCCTACCGTCGATCGACGAAATGTATCTACGACGACCTTAGCGCTTTTGTGATTTCTCACGTAATCACAGATTTTAGATCAAATCTCAACCGTTGGATATTAAAAAACCGATTGATCAGAAATCATGAGATCGATATTTTGTGTACCTTTTTGTAAGTGGTGCCGTCTTCTTCGACGGTCCAACCGGCTTCGTTGCACAGAGCTTTCAAGACCTCGTTGTTGTCGCAGTGCTTGGAGAGCTTGTAGTTACCGTATGTCCGTAGACCGGCGAAGATCTTCGCCGCGATAGCTCGCCTCCGCCGTTCTCTCCGCTTGTTGTTCTCCCTCTCCTTCCACGTCGGCATTCTCGTACCTGACGTCATGATGCTTTTCAGAAAAACAGCGACGACGACGTCAAAATTTTCTCTTTTAGTTCACTGAGTTCGTGATTCTTATAATTGTTATTAATATTTATTATTTTCTCGAGAAAAACGGAAATAAAGGGTAAAAGTGGTGTTAGAATGATGGAGGTGCGGGAAAAACTGGTGAGCTAAAATATAAAGGGTAAAGTGAAAAATGGTCACTAAAGTATTCTATAATAATCGATTTGGGCAGTAAACTTTTAAATATTACCAAATAGACATTAAATTTTAGATTTTATTACAAAATGAATACTATATAGTTAGTTGTTGTTAAAGGGATATGTTAAAATTGATGGATAATATATCATTTGATCCTTTAATTGTAATTAAATTTTTTATTTTGATATTTTTCTAATGTTTTTAAGAATATTTTTTTTAAAAAAAGTAAAAATATATAAAATTCGTAATTTAGTCCGTTAGGCCATTCGATTGAATTGTTCTTTATTTTTGATTCAGTTCATCTCGAGATCAGTTCACTGGATATTGCAAACGATGTAAGGCCACCTTAATGTTCTTTATTAAATATTTTGGGTACTACTTTCTCCCTATAGGTCCTAGTTTCATGTTGGTTTAAAATGAACTTTATGGGGCTCATCTTTATTTTCAAACAAAATCTAAAATCTAATTAACTTCTAATTTATAATTTTTAAAAGTTTGATGTCTAAAAAAGTCATTTTTGAGATATTTTAATGATCATTTCTAACTTTATCCAAATATTTGTGGACAAGAGTTCTTGATCGCCCATGAATGATTATTGAAATTACAAAGGGCCACTACTAAATGGCTCTAATTTTATTTTAGTCCCTAAATTATACTTTATTTAAGATTTAATTAACGTGCTTTAATTTTTTAATAGTTAATCATTTAGTGGATCCAAATTGATTACACCATTGGTTGCGACTGTTAAAGTAATGACATTAATTTTTTTCCTTATTATTTTATCATAACCAAGGCTACATGAAATCTAGACGATGATGTTCAAAAATTATTAAATGAATGCTTAAAGTTTTGAGTGAAACAACTAACGATCTTATCAAATTGGACATATCAATAACTTATAAAAATAAAGAATCAAATTAGTATAGAGACAATCTTAAATTTAGAGGCATAGTAGAGGGATTTAAACCAAAATTAGTTCATTGAAAATATAAGGGTAAAGTACAGTAGAGGTAACTGAACTATGCTCAAATAATTATTTTGGTCATTAAACTTTCAAAATTTACAAAATGAGCATTAAAATTATTAAACTATTATAGAATGATCATTGTGACATTAGAATAACTGTAAAGGTCGATAAATATAATGACCATTTTGTAAATATTGATAAAATTTAATGAATCATTTTTAACATCTTGATAATGACTATTTTGTAACTGTTGATAAATTTAATAACTATTTTAAAAATTTTAAAAGATAAATAACCATAACAATCATTTAAGCATAGTTTAATTACCTCTAGTGCACTTTACTCAAAATATAAAGCTTTAACTGCCGGGGATCACGAGGGTAGCACGTGTTTGGGCTTTTAAGAAAGGCATCACAATGAGAAGAATACAATACCGTTTTAAAAGGCAAAAACGTGCGTATGTACACATTATGGCTAGCCATAAGAATCGAATAATTGAAAATTTATCTGAAACGTAATTTTTTGAAAAATATTATATATAATTTTAGTCTTAGATTCAATTTTTATCTTATATTAATTTAATAATTTCGTTCGGTACTTCTTAAAGGTTATTTCGAGATATTAGTAATTTTATATTTTAAGTTAACATAATTTATTTCTTTGTTTTATAATATCATCCATTAATTCAAATAATTAATTATTTCAATTAAAAGGTTGATGTAGATTATTAACTAACGAGTTAACCAATGAGATTATAAAAATAGAGATCAAATTGTTTTAAATTAAAATATATGGATTAAATTTCAAATGAGAGTATAATAGAAGGAGTAAAACTAAAATTTTAAAAATGTTAAATGTAGCATTTTATATTTAATTATTTATACTAAGACAGGTGGGGTCACGTGATGCACGATATGCTGGCCACCCACGAGGCAATTGCATTATTTTTCTTTTATTCACACCTAGGCCTACTCCCTACGCTTACAATTTCCAGACTTTGCTTCATAGCTTCGTCTTATTGCAGATTAATCAGGCGATTGTACTTAAATACCACTCAACAGGAAATAATTACCTGTTAGATACCATTTGACATAATTTAACCAATTTAACACTCTTTCTGATAAGGTGTGTATGTTTTCGAGCTGACGTAATGTTATGAAATGCGCAGATCATCATCCGCGTCTTATTTAAGTTGGCACCACGTAATGACAGGCATAGATTGTCATCTTCGTCTTTCTGGAAATCTAACACGCATATATAAGGCGTAGATCGCCATCCTGGCCTTCTATTATTGATTCCGAAAATCTCGGCTTTTAAACTCTCCCATCGCCTATAAATAACACCCCTTCCATGCAAACATCACATCATCAAATTCTTTTATTTTTGCTTCATCAATTCCTTCGATTTTTTATTGTAAGGTAAAATTATTTTTTATTATATTATATTATTTTATATATGATTATTTGTAAAAAATTATTTTACTAATTATTTTGTATTATTTTTTGCGATTGTAAAATTGAAAAGTGAGATCATACGTCGAGATATTTTTACCGATACAATAACAATATAAAATTATATATTTTTTAAATTATTGTAAAAATTTTAATTTTTTATTATGTTATATTTTAATTCATATACTATTTATTTAATTTGACGTATCTCAACTATTATTTTTGTAGATATAAGACTCTCAATCTTTCAAACTCTCAGAATGACGCATATTTCAGCTATTGTTTACTATGATGGAGAAATTCGGGAAAATGAAATTGGCATCGTGTTCGCATCAAATCATTCTGTCAAAATATCCTTAAAGAGAAACATAACTCTTAAGGAACTGATAACGAAGATTTCAAGGAAGGTTTATGTTAGAAGTACTAGAAGATTGTCTTCACTTCATTACAGATTTCCAACCGTAGTATTTTTGTTAACTTATACAGCGGTCGAACTATCCAACGATGACGATGTTGCTACGATAGTTGATTCTCAAAATCATTATTCAGCACCGATACATATATGTATACGAAATTTTTTTGAAGTGTGTGTTGTTCGTGGTATGTCATTATACTCACACTATGGGCTGGCTCAACAAGCTGATAAAGTTGACAGCCCAACTTAAGTAATATGTAATGATTTTAACTCGTTAATAGGAAATCCACATCATGGTGTCATCCCATCAAGTTCAGTGAGGAGACATTCATCATCAACTTCTTACGATCTGTAACCGAGGTGGCTCCACAAAGGCAACATCGCATCCAGTTCAAGGGGAAGAAATTCATCTTCCAATTTCTTTAACCTAAATATGGATATGCCCTCAACGCAACAATCTATGCAGTACCCATTTGACACGATGCCTTCAAGCTCCAGGGGGAGGCATTCAACTACGAGCTTATTCGACTTCAATGTCGAAATGCCTTCAAGTTCAAGGGGAAGGCATGCAACTACTAGCTTGTTCGACCTAAATGTCGACATCGTGGAAGAACCCTCATTTCCACCAGAAAAACCTTTTCGTGAGCTAGGTGTGGATGGTACTGAGACTGTACTATTTGTTCAGCCAGAATCACCACAATTCAACATAGACTCCGATGATGATGATGTAGATGAAGTTCCCACAAATACGGTACATGCTGAACCTCTAACACACATGTATGAAGTTGATTATGATGCAATGTACGGGCCAGAATTTGTGGATATGCCTAATGTCTGTGACTATGAATTTAACTCATCAGTCAATGATGGTAAGTTATATAAAGGAATGGAGTTTTTATGCAAAGAATAATCGATGATGGAAATTAAGAATTATAATATTCGTAATTTTGTTCAGTCCATAGTCGACCGCTCTACCACCGAAAAGTGTGTCTGCCACTGTGTTCAACGTGATAACGAATGCAATTGGATAGTTTCAGTATCGAAGAGGAAGAGGAAAAAAATATATGAGAACTAACGATATACAACGACCCTCACATATGTTATGTTGGAGGGATCAACTAGGATCATCCCAACTTGGACTCCGATATTATATGCCAAATCATCATGCATATGGTAAAATCAACCTCTCATATAGCTATTACTGTGTTAATTTCGGCTACACAATCGTAGTATGGGTATACCATCTCATACAGGAAAGCATGGAAGGTAAAGCAGAATGCCATTAAAAAAGTTCACGGCGAATGAGATGCATCTTACAACGAACTATCAAGTTGGTTTAAGGTGGTTCGTATATTGAATCCTGGGACAATTATTAACTTCGAAACTTGTCATGCATACCACAATGATCGAGTGCTTCGCGATCGATGCCAATTCTATCGACTTTTTTTATACTTACCCACAATGCATTAATGTTGTGAAATACTGTAAGCCCGTGGTCTAAATCGGTGAGACATTCTTGTATGGAAAATACAAACGAGTTTTACTATTGGTTGTTGTCCAATATGGTAATCGCAACATACTTTCAGTTGCTTTTGCCCTTGTTGAAGGAGAAGATACAGATTCTTGGGTTTTTTTCCTTATAAACTTAAACTTACATGTTATCACGAGGGAAAAATTGTGTCATTTCATATTGCGGAGCTGGGATCAAAACAACAATGGATTCTTTGGGTCTAATGTGACAACCACCCTATGTCCAACATCGATATTGTATCATACACATTTCTACAAACTATCATGGAATGTTCAAGAGGAATGATGAGCTCCAATTACTTGTGCGCATGAGTATGTTAAAATGTTATTTTTTATTTCTCAATCATTTTCATTTTTTATAGAAACAAAGTTAGTAAATTATACATTTGATGCTCAGGTTACAAACTACTACCTGAAACATTTGAGTTCATGCTTCAAGAGTTAATATGAAAGAACGAGGAATGATACAATTACATTAACCTCA